CCTCTCTCTCTCTCTCTCGCTCTGTTTGAAGGTAACCAATGGTGAGGGTTTCATTGTTAACGAAAATGTGGCACGGCAATGTTACACGTTTTATTAGGGAATCTGTTGGTAGTGTCAGACGTGCACTCTTCTCTCGTTAATCAGACCCTTATTGCCTCTCTCAGAAACTTTTATCCTCCCTCGCTACCTTCTTCACTTTAACTCTCCCCCGCTTCCATCTCTTTCATCCCACAGACCCTTCTATCATTGAAACTTTTCCTCCCTTTCTCAGGTTCTGCTTTCCAATTCGGACCCGTCCGTCTCCCTCTGAGATGACCAAATAGAAAAAGGAGGGTGAATAGGAGGGTTAGGGTAAGGAGTAGGAGGAGAGTAGGTGAGGGGAAAGAAGGAGAAGAGGAGGGGTGAACAGGATGGTTTGGCGGGAGGAGAAGGAAGCGGATGATGTGGAAGAAGAAGAAGAGGAAGGAGGAGGAGGAGGAGGAGGAGGAATTGTGTGTACATGTATGTATACGTGGGTCGACACGGCCGCTATCCGGCCCCTTGGTCATGCGTAACCAGCTTATGACACATGCACGCAGCTCTTAATATAACCAACCCGCCGCCGCCGCCGCCGCCGCTGGAGCAGCAGCAGCAGCAGCAGCTCCGCGACTCTATCTGTCTACAGTTAGTTTATTGATCATTTCTACACCAGCTCGGATACCCTGGCACGCGGCGCCGCGTGTGTCGGTTGACGACGTACGGGCGATGAGGCGCGTGCGTGCAGGGTTCGGTTCATTCTGAGTGCACTTGTCGGTGTGCGTGTGCGTGCGTGTGCGTGTGCGTGCGTGCGTGCGCTCTGGTAATGTGATGCACACTGTTTCTTAGCAGTGGCGTATGAGGAAAGGAATTGCTGCTGATATCTATATGCAGACATTAGCGTCCGCATACAGCCAAACCTCTATAAAACGGACACCTGTCTATTAGGGTCAATTTTTGGGACTTTCCCTTGACTGGCCGTTGACTGTTCGCGTGTTCGCACGGCGGAATCAAAGAAGAAAAAACGATGAAATGAGAAAAGAACGGCCTTCGAATGCCTCTTTTATAAGACTGGGGGAGGGGGTTACTTGAAGTCATATTTTGTGACGATATCCTCAATTTTCTACCCACTGGTGCAATCGTAGTTGATGTTGATGATGGTGACGACGATGATGACAGCGCTTTTATATACTTCGTGGAGCTGCAGCTTATTTTTAAACAACAACAACAGCGACGTTCTGTAGGTCCCCTACGGTTAAAATGTGTGAACGCGTTTTAAACGCGTTAAACGTGTCTCGAAAGGTGTTTATATATGCGGATGAAATACGGTTTTGTTCCCTATTTATTTTTGGTAAGTTATTCGTCAGGCCGGAAGGCGGACGTCCGTGAAGGTCAAAGTGCGTCGGTAGCAGCCATGTTGGCCCGTTTTCGTTGCAGTCAATGTAATAGTATTAGCGAGGACAGTCGTAGGTGCGTGCGTACGATGTCAATACACGCTACCACCGGGTGGCGTAAAGTCACCGATAGGTGGCGCACGTACTAGACCGGAAATTAAGTGTGGCGCCAGGTGGCGTAGGGTCCCCGAAAGGTGGCACATGTGCAAGACCGGGGAGTCGACATCGTGCCGGTACACCGCTCTGTGTAGACCGTACACGGCGGTTTAGTCTGTTTCAGTAACGTGAGACTTGCCAAAAATGCCAATGATGTCTATTAAATTATTCAGTTTCTCGGAAGTATTACCTATTCCTAAAGCTGTGACGTCACTAATAAGACCCCGGTTTGCAGACGTCACCACTGTCCTTGAGTTTCCCAGAGGTCAGCTTTGTTCTTGAGTTTTTCAAAGGTCGGCATTGTCTGAGTTTTCCAGAGGTCAGCATTGTGATTGAGTTTGCCAAAGGTCACTACTGTCCTTGAATTTCCCAGAGGTTACCACTGTCCTTGAATTTCCCAGAGGTCAGCATTATACGTGAATAATGCCACGGCTTCTAAATCACTCTTCATCTTCTATGATTCTATGTGGCATCTGACAGAACAATCTCTAAACACGCCCAGAAGGGTGACAGTACACTCATAATGCGTGTTGTTTAGCTTGGGTATCCAGCTTTACAGGGTAGATACCACAATGTGCTCGTTAGTCGAAGTAAGCATAGTCTAGAAGTCGTATTTAATGTTGAGCCAAGTGTAAATAATTTATATTTTGTCATAATGCTGTTGCCAGCATGGATATTATAAAGTGTTACTGTTACAACTAGAATTTAGGATATATATATATATAAATATATTATATATATATACATATATATATATTATATATATATATATATATATAGACAGATCGTTTACTATGCAGAATATATCATGCATTTATGTTTGTACGTAAAAGCAATTTTAGCCATTTTGCATCTCTCGCGAACGCACCACCTAAACCCAAGTGGCTAAACTCAACAGAAAAATATTGAGAATTGAGAATATATTTCGTCTATTTCTCATTGAAAGTACAAACGTTAGAGACCCCAACCGTACCCCACCTCTCATTATCTGCCCCTTAACTAGAAAGCAGTATGTTTGTCTTCGTACGTATATATTATATGTATGGAAACCCCTATGAATCTGTCAGTTATTCCCGCAGTGTAAATTTGATACTGTCACTTTATAAAAGCAATAGTTTTGAGTCTATAATACTAGAAAACGTCTACTCCACTTCTCGCTCTTGTCGTGAAATGTGCCTATCCGGTAGCAACTCCTGTGGCCTATATGAGTTGATGGGATGCCTAATAATATATCTAATATGCTTGCTGAATGTATGCGTGTATGTGCTGCGTGGAATATAGCGCGTCTCAGTCGGTCTAGCAGTAGCTCTTCAGTGAGTGTAGCGTACTAGATCTCTGCGGTCTACGCGCGCTGTTGAGCAGATTTTCTATCGGAGCTCCTTCTGTTTCTGTTATATGAACATCTTATTGTATTCGCGGAATTGCATCGTCATCGTTTCATGTGTTTGTGCGTGCGTGCGTGCGTGCGTGCAGTGTCCGTGTTAGAATGGCGTACGTTACATGTACGTACGTTAGTTACGGTCTTACGGACACTGTGTCTTCTACCACTGAGGTTTGTGATCGCTGGCAAAAGCCTGTAATAGCGGGCTCTAGGCTCGGCTGGGTTGATGCGTGTGCGTGGGCGTGCTATAAGGTATCGGTATCGGTATAGGTGTTCGGTGCTCCCGTTCCTACTCACGTCATGGTGGTAGCAGTTCGTATGTATGTAAACACTCAATGTAATTCCCTCTTGGCGGGTTGTATGAATGTCGAACTCAAGCTTGTTTGCTTAAATGCCTCCCCCCCTTTCTCTATCCAACCTCAGCTATCGCTGCCTTTTGCAACAGTATTCTAATCGTTCCAAAGACGTGTATTATCTCTCGTGACGTGTACATGACGTATATTATGTTGAATGCAGCGCTACACGTGGTACATAACCTATGTGCAGCAATAACCACCGATAATCGACCAAAACAACGCGATTATTTATTTTATATATATATATATATATATATATATATATATATATATATAACATAAGAAGGAGGTTATTGCTGGGCCATTGCTACTGTACTCGGTGTTCGCTGCACACTAGTAGTATTCAAAGATGACGGTGTATTTCGAATGACAACGGGCGTGTGCGGAGTCTCTCCCCTCGCTCTCTCCTTCTGTCAATCTCCCTTCTCGCACCCTCTCTCTGCCCATCTCTAAATTTCCATTCCTGTTCTTGCCCCCTCTCTTTGTCTGTCTGGCTGTGTCTCGCTTTTCCTCCCCTTCTCATCCCTCTCTCTCTCTCTCTCTCTTTCTCTCTATTCTCTTTATCCCTGTCTCCATCTACCTCTCCTCCCCCCTCTCCCTCTCTCTCTCTGTGTTTCGTGTGCCTGTGTGTGCGCATAACTACAGAATGCAGCAGCCGCCAGTAGAGATGAGTCCACCACTCTACGGTGGGTTTATTGATCACACGAGCCTGTTCACTGCCGCCTGAGCCGAGTGCGCGCTACAACGCTCTGCACTGCCTGCCTACCCACCGGTGGCTGGCTGGCTGGCTGACTGACTGACTGGCTGGCTGGCTGGCTGGCCGACTGACTCTCTGACTCGCTCGCTCTCTCATTCTCTCCGTCTCTCACCCCCTCTCCCTCCGTCCTCTACTCTTCGTCGCTCTCTCTCTCTCTCTTTCTCTCTCTCGATCTCTCGCTCGCTCCCTTTCTTCCTTCGGTCCTCTCCCTCGCGCCCCCCTCTCTCTTCTCTATCTTCTTTTCCCTCGTTAACCATTCTCTATTTCTCACCCTCATTTTATCTCCCTCACACGCTATCGTCTGTTCTCTCCCCCACATATCCCTTCCCCCCATCACGCCTCGCTCTTCCTCTCCTCTGCATGTGGCTGCTGCTACTGCTACTGCTGCTGCTACTGCTACTGCTACTGCTGGTGCATCCACCGGTGGCTGACTGGTTGGCTGGTTGGTTGATCAGTGACCGACTAGCTAGCTGCGTACAGTTGCAACTGTGGTTGTTGTGAACGGTTGCCGAGATGCTGCTGCGAGGTGGGCATCCGCGATTTACACTCAGTAATACTGAAGAGTGTGTGCATGTGTCTAGTACTACCTATGTAGCCCGTGACGGAACGAGGGGGCTGCGTGAGTGCTAGAGTGTCCGACGACATATGAAAGATGGACCGAGAAAGGTTTTGCGCGTGTAATTATATCGTCCTTCGATGTACTCACTGATTTAGAAGCCTAATGCGTCGACTGCGTACCCTTAACTCCTTCTCCAGTCGACTCTGTCTATCTCCCTCTCGAATATACATATGTTGGCGTGTAAATACCGTGTGTTTATACTTCTATTGCCAATGTCGTCTGCCATAATGATGATGTAATTATATTTTACAAGCTATGTATGTTATTGCTCAACATTTATAATATATATGTTTCAGTATAAACGTATACCTGGCGAGCGTTTGCGTTTGTTTTCTATATGCGTGTTGATTTTTACCCGGATGAAGGCCTGAGGTGGCGATATCACTTCTATATACGTGCGTGCGTGCGTTTGTTCGTTCGTTCTTTCGTGAGTGCATGCATTCAACCTAGCCCCAGCCCTAAGCCCAGCTCTCACTCCAATCCTAACACAACTCTAACCCCAGCCCTAACCCCAGCGCTAACCCCAGCCCTAACCCCTACATTATCTCAATCCTTACCGTATCATCATCATACATACATTACCTCCATAACCTTAATCATAACCCTGATCCTAATCATAACCCCAACTATAACCCCAATTGCAACCCCAGCCCCAGCCCTAGCCCTAACCCCAGCCCTAGCCCCAACCCCAGCCCCAGCCCTAACCCCAGCATTACATCGACCCTTACCCGTATCATCATCATCATACAATTACATTACCTTTATAACCTTAACCTTAACCTTAACTCTAACCCTAACCTAACCCTTGCCATTATCTAATCCTTACGTCCACCACGTGGGTGCGAGGGTCATGAAGTAAGTTTGACCCATGAGTTACAACCTAAACACATGTGTTTATACGCAGATAGGTTCGCGCTTACACCAACTGTCTGTCAAATAGCTTTCGTGTTTCCTCTTCTCTCCTTGTTGATGCGCGTTTTCTGGATAAAGGGGACTAGTGTGGCCCCAGCGCATTTTTTAACTCTATAATCCCTCACTTAACGACCTTAATTAGTCACCCTCGAGTTGCCTCTATAAACTACTTAAGACGATTTACTCCTTAAGCTATGTATTCTTCCGCCGCTCAGTGAGCATGCGAATATTGACATTGGAGCCTACCTTAGAAACGATACGAGACACGGAGTAAATTTTTGCTTGGTATTCGCGTCGTTCCGTTTCTCGGCGTTAAAATATCGTAAAACGAGGAACTTTCCGGGAAATGTTTCTGCTATCAACCGTTGCCTGGAATGCGATTTTATGGGTACATTTCGTTGGGCGGCGATAGTTGGTAACAGGAACCGGTAATCGATGTCCATTACATCTCTATGTTAATATAATATTGCCCTTCTCTGTCTCTGATTCCCTCTCTGTCTTCCTCTCTTGTTCTCTCTCTCTCTCTCCCTCTCTCTCTCTCTCTCTCTCTCTCTCTCTCTCTCTCTCTCTCTCCCTCTCTCTCTCTCTTCCCTCTTCTCTCTCTTTCT